TCTTCTATAAGCTAGACATACCTAGCTCCCTTAACTCTTCATCATACATCACCCCTAAGCCCCTTATCATCTTTGTTGAAATGGTATAGGGCAGTGGTGGCTAACCTTTTTGGGCTCCTGTGCCAAAAATTGTGTGTGCCCTGGCATGCATGCATTCACATGCCAGCACCCAGAAGGCAATGTGCGCACGCCCTCTGCACATGCACACGCAATTCCCCATACACCACCACACTCCCCATGCTGCCTGTCCCCCGCTCCCTTACAGGCACTACGCCTCCCAGCTGATTTTCGGCTGGTTTGAGGCCTTTCTTCGGCCTCCCAGAGGCTTGAAAAAAAGCCTCTTCAGGCTTTGAAGGCCGAATAATAGGCCCGTTTCGTCACTTCCGGTATTACTGGAAGTGATGAAAAGGGCCCATTCGGCCTGCAGCAGCTTTTTTGAAGCCTCTGGGAGGCTGGAAAAGGCCTCAAACTAGCCGAAAATCAGCTGTGAGGTGCGCGCATGCGCAGTGAGATAAGTTTGCTGGCAGCTCAGGTGCCAGCACAAATGGCTCTGCGTGCTGCCTGTGGCACCACGTGCCATAGGTTCATCATCACGGGTATAGGGTTTCCTGCTTGAGGGAAAGCAAGTGGGTTGGACTAGAAGACCTCCAACATCCCTTCCGACTCGGTTATTCTGTTATTCTTCTGCTTTTCTCTGTACTCTTTGACAGAAGTTTCTAGGAGCCCAGAAATTCTGTAGCCTCATTGTGTTTGTAGTAAGGTGGCCACTCACCTCTTGCCACAAAATTGAATTTAATGTGCACATTTGCACATTTAAAATGACTATTATTTTGAACTGAAGCTCGGTATCTCTCATCTACTCAGCTATATTTCTGAATTTCCTGCTCTTCTGGAGGTGCTAACTAGGTGGGCCACTCTGTTCTCTCTTCTTAGGGTTTTCAGCTGAACTCAACAATAGAAAAATCTTCCAGTAAAAGGATTTGGTTTGATTTGATTATTTGCAAAGAGCACATCCAACCAGCCTGGTACTTGGATTCTTTGGTAGCATCTGATTAGCCACAATGGGTATACTCACAAAATACGCTGACTCACTAACAATTCAATTGCTTTTTAGCCTAATAGGGTGATCCCAGGCTCTTTGGCCTCTCTGCTTGGCCAACTCTGAAAATGTGAGTTGAGGGAAACACATTAAAGTATTCAAGTGTCAGAAGATCCATTATGACCTTTATGTCTCATTAGTGGCACATTACTTAGAATGCAGTACTACAGGCTAACTCACTGCTCACTGCTCAATTCTGACTGGCTCAGGGTTGATTCAGCCTTCCATCCTTTCGATAAAATGAGGACGCAGAGTGTTTAGGGGGCAATATGCTGACTCTGTAAACTGCTTAGAGAGGGCAGTAAAGCATTGTGAAGCGGTATATAAGTCTAAGTGCTATTGCTATTGTCAAAAAAAAAAAGTTGTCCACCCATGATAGTCTCAAAGATGTTTTTTCAGGAGACAACTGGACTTTCTTGTTTTTCTTTTGAAGATGTTTCGCTTCTCATCCAAGAAACTTCTTCAGCTCTGACAAGATGGTGGGGAATGGAAGGATTTATATTCCTTGCTGGCCATTTGTATCCTTTTAGAGCAGAGATGAGCTTAAATGGACTCCAGAAGATGGTAGAGGATAGGAAGGCTTGGAGGAAGGTTGTCCATGGGGTCATGGTGGGTCATGACACGACTTTGCGACTAACAACAAACAACAAGAGCAGAGGTCTCCAAATTTGGCAACTTTAAGACTTGTGGACTTCAACTCCCAGCATAGCTGAGGAATTCTGGGAGTTGAAATCCAAAAGTCTTAAAGTTTGCCAAGTTTGGGGACCCTGTTTTAGAGTGTTGTTGAAGCACTTGGAGGTTTATCTATGTCCTCAGGAATTCTAGCTATACAATTTGGGATGATCACCCTTTGAATGATGCGGGAGTAGGAATGGATTACCAAAAAATTTCAGACGAAAGGAACCAGGAACACTAACTCAGGTGACTCTGAGGACACAGACCTACAAGTGCTTCAATTAGGGGTGGGATTCTACCAGTTTGCACCTATTCACTAGAACCGGTTGTTAACATTCTAAGCAGTTCGGAGAACCGGTTGTTAGAAGAAATTACTGGCCTAATCCTGTAAGGAAGGCAGGAAGGAAACATTCTGGTGTTGCTTACAGAAACTGCCTCTCCGTTAACCCTTATTACATTCTTGGCAGGACTAGACTTCCTGTCTCAGGAACTTCTCTGGAGTTTTTTCCCCCTCCTTTGCTGGTACTTTGCTTGTGTGGAGTGACCATTCAAAGTTACAATGGCACTGAAAAAAATGACTTATGACCATTTTTCACACTTACAACTGTTGCAGCAGCTCCACAGTCATGAGAGGCCAGGCGAGGAGATGCGTGCCTTGATGTGAGTGATGTTGAGTTGGCCATGCTCAGCCAGCCACATGACCACCAAGCCACGCTCACCAACTAAGCCACGCCCACAGAACCAGTTGTTAAAAAATTTGAATCCCACCCATGGCTTCAATGACCCTGTAAACCAAGAGTCTTCAACCTTGGCAAGTTTAAGACTCATGGACTTCAACTCCCAGAATTCCTGAGCTAACATGGCTGGAGGAGGAATTCTGGGAGCTGAAGTCCACAAGTCTTAAAGCTCTCAAGTTTGAACACCCCTGCTCTAAAGCAGTGATGGCTAACCTTTCCATCCACACGTGCCAAAAGTGTGCACTCACACATGCACATGCACGTGTGCAAGCACCTATAAGGCAATGCACATGGGGGGGCCCTGTGCATGTGTGCATGATCCCATGCACCACATTTCTCTGTGCATGCACACTTGTCTCCTGCATGCACCCCGCACCCTGCACATGCGCGGCAGCTATCCAACAATCAGCTGGCAGACGGCGCGCATGCCTGAATAATACACCTGCTCTGGGGCGACAGCTCAGGTGCCGGCGGAGATGGCTCTGTATGCCACTTCTGGCACGCATGCCACAGGTTCTCCATCACGGCTCTAAAAGGATGCAAATGACCAGCAAAGGGATATAAATCCATCCATTCCCCACTATCCTGTCAGAGCTGAAGAAGCTTCTTGGATGAGAAGCGAAATGTCTTCAAAAGTAGAACAAGAAAGTCCAGTTGCCTCCTGAAAAAAGCACCTTTGGGACAACCATGACCTGGATGACTGTAGCTGTTAAACTGAGGGTAATTACCAACTTACCAGGTTATTAACAAGGGGGTAATTTTGACATATCCTGAGGGTAATGATGTAATGTAATTGAGTGTTTGTGTGTCAAGGATCCAGTTTGTTACTAAGGCTGCCAAGATAGTGGTGTAAAACAACTAAGTCTTAAGCTTCTTTTGGCATTACCTGAACCTGGGAAAACAGTTTAAGAATCACAGCTGTAATGCTTGGATTGCCCTCAGCTAAATAATAAAGAGATGCTGGGAGGGGGAATCTAACTCTAATATCATACAAGCAGTCCTTGATTTATAGCCTTTGTTTAGCGATTGTGTAAAGTTATAACAACACTGGGGGAAAAAACAAGTGGCAAAAAACCATCCTTGCAATTATAACTGTCTCAGCATCTCCTTTGGTCACATGATCAAAATTTGGTTACCTGGCCAAACAGCAAGTATTTTTTCTATGGTTGCCGTGTCCTGCAGTCTTGTGCTCGCTTATTTGTAACCTTCCCAGCCAGCTTAACAGAAAAACAGAAGAGCTGGGACGTTGGAGTTCTTCTAATCCAACTTCCTGTTCAGGCAGGAAACCCTATACCAGGGCTGTCAAACTCGATTTCATTGAGGGTTGTGTTTGATCGGGGGGGGGGGGCAGGGGCAGCAGGGTCAGCTTGACATCACTCATGTCGGGAGGCGTCTATGGTGGCTTGAGTGCTCTGCAGGTGAAAATGGGTTCCCAAGGTCCATTTTCAGCTGTGACAGCCTCCTGCAAGCCTCTGCCAGTGAAAACGGAGTTCGGGGGGGCTGCACACGGCTTTCCCAAGCTCCGTTTTCACTAGCAAAGGCACCGTGGGGTGGTTCTTCGCTATTTTCAGGGAGGCCCCGCAGGCCACATCTAAGCAACCGGCGGGCCGGATCCAGCCCGTCAGCCTTGAGTTGGGCACCCCTGCCCTACAACCATTTCAGCAGGGGTGGGATTGAAAAATCCCAGCAACCGGTTCACTGCCCAGTTGCTGGGTGGGTGTGGCCATGGTGGGCGTGGCCTACCAGAACTTCTGGGAGGCCTGTTTTTCGCCTTTCCAAGAGTCCGGAGGCTTCCCTCGTGCTTCTGGGAGGGCGAAAACAGCCTCCCCTGGGCTCTGAAGGCCCTCTGGAAGTCAGAAACAGGCCCATTTCCAGACTTCTGGAACTTCCGGGAGGGCCATTTTTCACCTTCCCCATAGTCCAGAGGCTTTCCTTGGGCCTCTGGGAAGACGAAAACAGCCACCCCAGGGCTCTAGAGGCCCTCCGGAAGCTGGAAACAGGCCCGTTTCTGGACTTCCAGTACTTCAGGAAGCCCCATTTTCCCCCCCTCCCAGAGCCACCATGCGGACCCTACACTTACCTGCATCGAAAATGGGCCATGTGGAGATCCTGGGAGGGGAGGGGAAGGGTCAGCTGATTGGTTTAAATACCGGTTTGGTGAACCAGATGCAAATTTAACATCCGGTTCGCCCGAACCAGTAGAATCCCACACTTCCATTTCTTGGCTGAGGGAACCATGGTTGTCCGAAGACAATTTCCATGGGTCATGTGGCCAGCATGACTGTACGCTAAAGGCTCATAGTGGTACCATAGTGGTTACCTATTAATCTACTCGCATCGAGTTAGGCAGGAGCACAATTCTATCCCTATTTTTTTTTAATTGGGGTGGCATAAAAGGTAGGCCCAGCATTGTGAATTCCAGCCTGAATTGATTTCATCTCCCTCCTTTAAATAAACAAATTTAAAAAACCTTTTTCTTTGCATCTCAGGATCTGCTCTTCAATGCCTGCAGTGTAAATTCACAGTTTTCAATCTACCCTGCCACACCTCAACTGTCACCTGTAACACCGGAGAACTTTGTGCTGTCATCCAGGGAACTACTGGTAAGGATATATATTTTTCTTTTTCTATTTCCTCCCTGTTTTCACCTGGGCTGTTTCCCCCAGGAATTTTATCTGGCCTAATTTTATAATAATACTTCTGAATAGGCACCCATAGAACCTAGTTGTGGAATAAACAACCCTGGGTTTCCTAATGAACATCAGGCAATGCATTTTTAAATATTCCTTTTTGTTCATCTGTTCAACCATCTTTGGTCTGTTTAAGACCAACAAAGCCACCTGAGATTATTCAAAGAAAAACCCACCCAGGTTTGACTATTTTAGACTCAGGTGATGTGTATTTGTAACATTTAGCAATACCTTCTTCACATGCACACCCCTCTTGGGAATATCCTCTCCCACAGAGGGGGAGGTGGGCCCAGGGTGGGCTGGGGGTTCGCAGGGGTTCCGGAGATCTTCTAGCTAAGATTATGCACAGTTTGGAGAACTCCCAAATCCCGCTCCTGCCCCACTCCGCCTGCCCCACCCCACCCCTCCCCTCCCAGGAGTCCCCACGTAGCCTATTTTGGATGTAGGTAAGTGCAGGGTGCACATGGAGGCTCGGGAAAGGTGAAAAACAGGTCTCCCGGAACTCTGGGTGTCAGCGTTCCAGCAAGCCTCCAGTCCAACCAATAACTCCGAGACACACATCGCTCCAAAGTTCTCAGTTATTTGGATAGTAGCTGGCACAACTGGGGGAATCCCGAATCTGAAAATTCCCGGCTTCTTTGCAATAATCAAAAACTGCAAATCCAACCCCCTACACCCATCATCACATCACAAGCCCCAATCATCGTCCATCCCAACTTAAGATTTCCCCTCACATATGCACACAATAGCATGACCTTGGACTACAAAAAGAATGTTATTTTGTCTAACTACATATACCCCCCAAGAACTTCCACCCTCCCACTTTCCCCAGGCTCAAAATGTGGCAGCGTGGGAGCATCTGGTTTCAATATGGCTTCCAAAGTTGACATTGGGAAGGCTGGAAACAGGTTCGTTCCCGGCTTCCAAAGAGCCTCCAGAGCCCAGGGAGGCCGTTTTCGCTCTCCCATGAGGCTTGAGGAAAGCCTCTGGGGCAAAACTCCCCCCCCCCACCCCGCCGTGGTGCAAGAGGCTGACTAGGCCACACCCACCATGCCACACCCACCATGCCACACCCACCATGCCACACCCACCCAGCAACTGGGCAGAGGAACCATTGCTAAAATTTGGGTGGGGGCCCATTCTACTGGCCTTTTCGGGAGAGTCTGAAGATCTGAACCCATCAACCTGCATACGATTTGCAGAGAAGCATTCAGCTCAGGGTTGGCTACAGCCTTCCCCTACCTTTTAAATTTTAATTATTCTAGTCTTCTTTTATTTATTTATTAAATTAAATTAATTGCATATGCTTCCCATCTCCTCGATAAAGAAACTCTGGGTGGCTTAACACAGAAAAAAACAATTATAATTTTAAAACTATGCCAAAAAAACCCCAAACCTCATACAATCAAGGAGACAGATGAGTGGATGAGGTCTTCTTAACTGCCTCTGTATTAAAGGCATATTAACAGAGTTGGAAGGGACCTTGTAAGTCATCTAGTCCAAACCCCCCACCCCCCGGCAGGTATAAATATCTCCATGCTGTCTCTGTCTCCATTTCCACCCTATTTATGCTTTGGTCCTTTGCCTCTGCATTGTCCTTCTAATGTTGCTAATTTTAATGTTTTAACTTTTAAATGTTTCTAATGTTTTTCATGTTTTTAAACCTTCTAATTCACTTATGCTGCTATTTTTGACATTGCATGCCACCCAAAGTCACTTGATAGTGAGATTAGCGGCATCCCATTTCTAATTTTTATGATATCGTAAGCAGCTCAGGGCAGTGGTGGGATTCAAATTTTTTCACTACCAGTTCTGTGGGTGTGGCTTGGTGGGCATGGCAGGGGAAGGAGACTGTAAAATCTCCAGTCAGAGGTGGTATTTGATGGTTCTCTGAACTACTCAAAATTTTCCGCTACTGGTTCTCCAGAACTGGTCAGAACCTGCTGAATACCACCTCTGGCTCAGGGTTACCTCCAGAATAAGAAGGGCAACCTATACATTTTACAAATAAATAAAATAAAAATAATAAAACAAAACAAAAACAAAATAAATAAAATAAAATAAAATAAAGTAAAACAAAAAACAATAAATAAGAAAATAAAATAAGAAAATAAGTAAAACATAACATAACAAAACAAAAATAGTATACCATCCAGAATCATTCTGTGAGTATTGGGAAACAGCCAGGCAGGGAGGAGGGGTCAAGCGGGGAACTAGCCTTATGCTTTTGGAGACTACGCAGGGACTCAAGGCTAGTTCCCCGCTTGACCCCTCCTGCCTTCCTAGTTGTGACTTTGGAACAGTGAGTGAGATGGGTGGTCTCTAACTTTGATATATCAAACAATCAATTGAGCTCTGCTTTCTGCCTTACTTGTTCACAACAATGCAATAACTGAGTTGTTTTATAGGTGGCAGGGAATGTTACCCAGACATACCTCTCATCCTATGTCTTTTTTTTTTCCTTTTGATGTTCCACCTAGCTGGTCAGAAGCTCATCAAGAAGAAGAACTGCGTCCAGCGGGAAAAATGTGACAAGAACGATACTGAGACCTACTTAGGCATCAAATACGTCACCACCTACAATTGTTGCGATAGCGACTTCTGCAATTCAGGGGCCACCTTGCCCTCTGCTCACATCTCTCTGCCTGTGCTTCTGGCCATCGGAGGCACCTGGCTCCTCCGCTTCCTCTAATCCTCTTTCCAGGAAGGAGAGAAAACACCAACTCTAGAAGATGCCAAAGATTAAGTCTGCGACCCTTCTACTTTTTTTACCTGAAAGTAACGTCCATGGAACTCCAGTGACATAGACGATTGTAGTTTTATCCTCTCAAGCACTGTATTAAATAGACACTCTCGCCTTTCCTTTTTATTCAGAAACGCATCTGTGGCTTAATGGAGGCATATCCTCCATTTTAGAGCATATGAATGAAGCTTTAGGAATTGAAGCTGCCTTAATCTTCCTCCTCCTCTCCTCTTTTTTTCATTATCTTCTACCTTTTCCATTCCTTTTCCACTTATTTTCATCCTCTGCAAGCTTCTTTTTTAAAACAGGGCTGGAAAATTAGTGTCAGACCAGTTACAAGTCCAATAGTCCCATCTAGATCACGGTTAAGAAATACTGATACCCATCTCCCTTAGTCCCCCCGCCCCTTTTAAGCTTCTTCACCCCTTTGAGATTTTACATTTCCTCCTCTTGTACTAAAAGCTTCTGCCTAACCTGCTTTGTATATATGTTTTCTCAGCTCACAAGCTCAGTGTTGTGTTTTCTCTCCAAGGGTCTCATTTCAAAGAATCCCCCCCCCCCGAACTATGATCACCAGTTGTGCCTCTTTCCTCGGCATGGTGGGGCTTTCTCTTTCTGCCAACGTTTCTCCTGATGACAGTGTCGTGTCTATGAGGGAGATAAGGCAATGGAAAGAGGAGTCCCCTTAATGCAATTCCCTGCCCCCACCTTCCATCCCATTCCCTTAAAGAAATATGATCTGTGGCCTCCCTGGGCAAATATTTGGTGACTCAGTAACTGGCATCAACGAGAGAAAGGGAGGTCTTCTGAGGCAAGCAACCCACCGGATGGCTGGTGAAAATATGCCAAGGGCTGCTATTTTGGGCTGACCCTGAGCCAATTATGTTTTAAAGGCCACATACATAACATTCTGCAGAGGAGGGGTTGTGTTGTTCTGCTCCTACACACACACTCCTTCAGGAAGGAGAGATGGATTTAACCCTATATATGCTGGCATTTCTGCCTTTGTCCCCAAAATCTGCAGACAGTTTTCTTGCATACACCTACAATATCACCCACATTAGGTTGCCTGAATTCAGCAGGTCCTTTCAAACACTTTTGCTGTGTGTGTGTGTGTGTGAGAGAGAGAGAGAGAGAGAGAGAGAGAAAGAGAGAGAGAGAGGTGATATGTGATATATATAATACTGGTAGTCCTCAACTTACAACCGGTGGTGGGATTCAACCTTTTTTTATTACCAGTTCTATGAGAAAGCATGCTTCGCGCAGCAATCAAAAACCACCAATTTTGAGCTTCAAACAGCTGAGGTGTGGCAATCCGCTCAGCCGTGCGAATCAGCTGAGCTCAAACCCAAGGAAATAAAGGACAGGAAAGGGCAGGGGCAGGTGGGCAGGGCCAACTCCTCAACGGCGCTACCGATTCGCGAGAACCGGTGCGAACCGGCGGCATCCCACCACTGTTTACAATGGTTCATTTAGTGACCGCCCAAAGTTAAAATAGACCTGAAAAAAGGGACTCATGACCCGTTTTTCACTCTTGCGACTGTTGCAGCATCCCCATGGTCACATGATTCAAATTTAGACAACTGAACTCACATTTATGATGGTTACAATGTCCCGGAGTCAATTCATCCCTTTTGGTGACCTTCTGACAAGCAGAGACAACAGGGGAATCAGATTCACTTGAACAACCTTGATAATAACTTAACTACAGTGATTCACTTAACGGTGGTAAGAGAGGTCATGAAACGGGCAAAAATCAACAAGTGTCTCACTTAGCAACAGAAATTTTGGGCTCAAGTGTGGTCGTAAGTCAAGGACTACTGTATTTGTAACCCATCTGCTTTGCCTTCACCCAGTTCTTTGTTTTTCCAATGTTGAAAATTATTCCTATTTCCATATCAGTTTGCCAATTTGTTTTAGGGTCAACATTTGTATATCTTTGCTCTGAATATATGGATACGCATCCACACTTTCTCCAGTACAGTATAATTTTTTTAAAAAAATACACATAAGTAACAAGATGTTTTTTTATATAATGTAGTACATCTTTACATATACATTCCCCACGTGTATACATCCTTGGGTGGGGGGGGGTGTTGTTTTTTACTCTTTGGAGTTGTGAAAACAACCATTGAATTTTAATTACCAGCATACATAATAGCTCCATTCTCAGTTTTGGAAGTTCAGGTTCATTCCATTTGCTTCAGAACGCAAGCTGAACAGATTTCTTCTCATACTAGTTTGTACTAAATAAATGACAAACTAAATAAATCTCTGAACTGGTAGCAGTTTTCTTCCTGCTTTTAGTTTCTTAAAAAGACAACTTAATGAATCAAACTAAGGGTTGTACAAACCGTGTTGAGATAGTTTTCTAATTTTGACAGAGTGCTCAGAAGTGGGACTGGGAAAATGCTTTCTGATCTTTTTCACAAGCAAGCAATCTCATCAAGGAATTTCGGGAAGTTGTAGGTGGTCCTTGGATCCAAGATCACAAAATGTTTGGGGGAGTTTTTCTTTGTTTTCCAAACACTTGTTCAACTGTCACAAAAGCCTCTTGTTTATTTTCCTCATCTGAGAGAATAGATCAAATTATAAAGTAATGGATATGTTGATCTATGATGGTAATGGTTTTATTTGATGTAATATTGAGGGGATATTCCAAAAAAGGGGGCTTGAAAAACAGAATGCAATATAGGGTATAGATGAGGTAGAAGCAAGGATAGTTGGAAGAATGTAGAAGGTCTAAGGAACAGTGTTTGTGTAAATTAAATTCATTTCATTTTCATTTTGACCTTTCTTTTGCTTACTACTTTTTACTTTTCTGCACTTTATGTAATATGGCTTACCCTGAAAGGGAACAGAGAGATTGATGTGCATATATTTACTTTTAAAAATTGCTTTTAAGTTTGTTTGATATTAGACTTTCAAAATGTGCTTTCAAACAATGATAGAACTTCCAAAATCTAAACAATCTAAACAATCATTCTGACTATTTTATTTAAAATCTAAACAATCATTCTGACTATTTTATTAAGTTGAAAGGGAAGAATTTATCTGGAAAACCTAAGTGCAAGATAGTTCTAAAGAAGATCTATTGGCTGTATGTTTACTCCTTCTTATCTAGAAGCAAGTTCCATTGAACTTAATGACTTCTATGTATACCTGTATTCTGTAAAAATAAACATGAGTGTACCACATATTTGGGTTTTATTCCTTTGCTCTCTTTTCTACGCCAACCTTGGCATGTTCACAGTGTTGTGTTGTGGTTGAAGGAAGACACGCAGCTGAAGGGAACAGTCCAACTTGTTTTTTTCAGTTAACAGTGACAACAGAATGGCTGAACCTGTCTGACAATTCCCCTTTTATAGGGGCTGTCAGACGAGCCAGCCAATCACATTCAAGAGGTTTCCCCGCCTAAACTGCAGACCTGAGTGAAAACCTCAGCTATACTAAAAACACAACACACAGCATTCCTAAAATATGGAAGAAACTTCTTCAAAGCAGACATATTATCCAAAGCAGTTGAAGGCAGGACAAGAAGCAATGGATAGAAACTAATCAAGGATAGAAGCAACCTAGAACTAAGGAGAAATTTCATGGCAGTTAGAACAATTAACCAGTGGAACAGCTTGCCTCGAGAAGTTATAGGTGCTCTGACACTGGAGGTTTTTAAGAAGAGATTGGACAGCCATTTGTCTGAAATGGTATAAGGTTTTCTGCCTGAGCAGAAGGTTGGACTAGAAGGCCTCCAATGTCCCTTCCCACCTCTGTTATTCTGTTGCAATGATGGACAATTAAGGCAACTTTATGACTTGTGGACTTCAACTCCCAGAATTCCTGAGCCAGCCGCACCAGAAGTTTTGGGCACGTCCTATCACATATTCAGTTCTGCTGTTGACTGGAATTGTGGGAATCGGAAATCCAAGGCATCTGGAAGATAACCTATAGAGACATAGGGAAAAGCCTTGAAGGACAGGAAGAAGAAAAGATGCCACCAAAACAATGGTCAGATAAGAGAGGCTTGAGCCCAGGTCGGAAAGCAATTTGAGAAAAACAACCCTAGTTCCCGTAAATAAAAAGTGAGGGGAAAGGAAACATATTCAGACTTGCAAGATTAACTGTAGCTGTTACACTGGTAGTTACAGGTAGTTCTCAACAGTTCATTTAGTGACCATTCGAAATTACAACAGCACTGAAAAAAGTGACTTAGGACCGTTTTTCACACTTATGACCGTTACAGCGTCCCCGTGATCATGTTGGAAAAAATGTCCATCTGGGTTCAGTTCCAAGTGGGGAGAAAGACACTGGAAACATGGAGGTTATTTGGAAAGATGGTTTAATGGTGGACAGGATCACATGCCTGGGAGCTCCTTGGTGAAAAGGGAAGGGATGCTGAGAGTCCCTGGGTTTTATAGCCTCTCTGGGCTTTCAACTTCCTGGAACACAGGAAGAATATCCTGATTGGTTGCTGTCAGAGGACATAGCTAGCTTTGTAGGTTGTCTGTGTGCTAAGTTTGGTTGAATCTTGGTGGGTGGTACAATGAAGGGCAATTCAATGGCTCCGCCTGAAGGAGGTAGATCTTTGTTATGTAGAATAGACTGGCCCAGGCCTGAATGGCCCATTAACAAAGGTGTGGCGGGGGGGGAATGAGTTTCTGCCTCTCTGAGGTTCTATTTCTCTTTTAGTGGAAATATTCTTCCTTTTTAATATATCCTAAAATATTTCATTTTTCTGGGAGAGGGGCAGGTTTTAACTTCCAACAGTCACATGATCAAAATTCAGACCCTTTTGGCAACTGGCATGTATTTATGACAGTTGCAGTGTCCCGGGGACAAGTGATCAACTGTTGCGGCCTTCTGACCTGCAAAGTCAATGGGGATTCACTTCACAACCGTGTTCCTAACAACTGCGGTGATTCACAAGAAGTGTGGTAAGAAAGCTGGTGAAATGGGGCCAAAGTCATTTAACAAATACCTCGCTTAGCAACAGAAATTTTGGGCTCAATTGTGGCTGTAAGTTGAGGACAACCTGTAATACCCGGGCAGAGACTTGAAAAGAGTGTTTTTTCACTGGTACTGCTCTTTCCTGTTGAATGTAAGCCAAAGGCCTTTTCGGCCAAGCGTGGTGAAGTGTAGCTGCAACATTCATCAAAACGCTCATTTTGTAACAATGACTGGAAACTCCCTATGAATTTGCCCAAAGGAGCAGCAGTGCTGAGCTTGGCCACTTTCTAAATTAGTATGACACCCCGGGGCTGGGCACAGAAAACAACACAGCCAGAACAAAGGCTAAACTCCCCTTTATTATTCCAACTTTCCCCCCCCTCCCCCCCAAAAAAATCCCATCGTTCACTGCAAGTCCAGGAGCAAAGCTCTAAACATGCACCTCCAATAATTCCTGGCTGCTATTAGTCCACCGGAGCAGCACAGGTCTTAAAGCAACCAAAGTTCAGGGAATTTGGTTGCAGAGTGTCCTTATCACAGGAAAAGTTCCCTGGGACTGCAGTACTGGTGGTATGCTGCCGGTTCGCACCGGTTCTAGCGATCTGGTAGCGCCAGTCAGCAGTCCACCTGTCCCGCCCTTTCCTGTCCTATATTTCCTTTGTTTGTAGCTCAGCTGGTAGGCACGACAGAGTGGATTACCGTGCCTCAGCTGTTTTACTCACCAGCGCTGACAGTAAGGTAAGTTTTCATACTTAAAATTGCACGTTTTAGAACACTTCGCGCCCACAGAACCGGTAGTAAAATATTTTGAATTCTACCACTAGACTACAGCATCACCTCCAGTATAACTGTGTCATTGTGACTTTGCATGTAACCAGGGCAGGCCAGCATGGCAAATAAGGCAAACAAGACAAGCACAGCAAAGTATCCAGATGTCCAGATAAAGTATCCAGCATGTGAGACTGGAAAAAGCAAACACTTGTTCTTGACAAACACCCCTCACAACAGCATCTCTTTTGAATCTCATTCCCCAGGTGAGCCTTGTGAAGAGACGCAGGGCACCCTCCTCCCGAGTTATCGGGTTGCTTGCACTGATCCTGCCTCCTCTCCATTCTCCGTGCTCAGGGATCGGGGGGAGGTAACTGCTTGTTGTCCGAGCTTCATTGCTCCTCTGCTCTGCTGCCTGCCCTGTCCTCCTCCATTGCCTGGTCCTCCTGCACCCCCTCTCCCTCACTGGCAACTGTTCCCAGACCCAAGGGACCTGGGACTGCCTCGCCCTGCTTCTCCGGTTGTTCCTCCGTGTGCCCTAGCTCTGTCTCATCCTCCTCCTCGGACTCAGGCTCCAAAGGGACCGTGACAAGTAGGATGAAATAGGAGGCACTTGTTGTGGTCCGTCGGCAGCCTGCGGAGACAGCAGCAGAGTCAGACAGTGGGGAGGAACATGGGCCAGTCCAGGAGTCTGGGGAGGGCTCGGACGAGGGATCTGTGTCTGACACAGAGATGGGGCCAGATGAGAGTTATGTGCAGAGTTTCCAGAATCTGACAGCGGCAAAGCAGAGGAACAAGGGGAGCCTTCCAGAAGGCAAGAGCAGTTAAGACAAAAGGGGTGACTCAGGAGTAAGGCTTGGAGGTGATTGGCCCTTCCATAAGACATAAAGTTTCTTCCCCAAACCCCAAAAACTTTAACCTTAGACTGTCTACTATTGACCTCACCCCTTTCCTAAGTGGTCTGTAGGGGGCGTGCATAAGCGCACCAATGTGCCTACCGTCCCTGTCCTATTGTTTCTCTTATTCTTCTTTTATTTTTCTTATATGTACCCATTTCATGTATTCACAACTATGTATACACTTATACTTATTATCTTGTAAACAATTGGCAAATCAAATAAATAAAATAAATAAATAAATAAATAAAATAAAGGAGGAACAAAGGGACAGGAACCTTTGCAGGAAGCAACTGTTCATGCTGGTTGGTTTGAAACCCGAAGCTTGGTGTTGAATTTGTGTTCCATTTTGGACTGTATAACTAATTGGACATTTAATCATTGGCAGCATTTCAAGGAAGATAAAGGTGCATGTTTATCAGTTATCCTGAAGGATTTGGCAGACTTCCATGGGACTATTTACAAATTGTTTCAGACTCATTACGGGCTGTGAATGACTAAAATTCACAGCCATTGAAATAAAGAAAAAAGGGTTTTAGGACTAATGTGTGTTTGTTACTATCTCCATAAGCCTTGGTCAGAACAGCACTTCACAAAACCAAAAGAGAGTTGAAGGTACTACTTGGCCCTAAAACTGACTTAGTTTTACACTGTATTTGTTTTTCTCTAGGAATTCGAGGTATTGAACGCAATGTTCCATCCTCTTAATTTTATATTCATCAACCATTCCATGATGTTGGCTATTTGAGCATCTAAAGTGAAGGCAGGAAATAAATAAATACACAAATAACCTCAGTACGACTTTCCTCCATCTTGTTTTTACAGTGGAATCCAAATATAAACCAGCTGTATCCTCATTATGAGCCTCCCTCTCAGTCTCTGACAAAGCCTCTGTCCTTTGGTGCCATGAAGCATATAAACACTGTGGTGTTTGTTCTAAAATGTGTTTAACACTTTTTAAACGGTGGGTGGGGGGAGACAGGAGGTTTCCAAGGTTGGACAGTTATTTATCTGGGATGGTCTGATGATTTTTGTCCTGGATAGGAGAGTTAGACTAGGACAGACTTGGTTCTCAACCTGGGCCACATTAAGATGTATGGACTTCAATCCCCATAATCCCTCAGCCGGCCTTGCTGGGTTTTTATTTCTGGGGTTGTTGGGTCTTTTGGTCTCCTTAGGACAGAGGTCTCCACACATGGCAACTTTAAGACTTGTGGACTTCAACTCCCATAATTCTCCTAGCTGGCTGGAGAATTCTGGGAGTTGAAGTCCACAAGTCTTAAAGTTGCCAAGTTTGGGGACCTCTGCCTTAGGATGTTTCGAAGGGCTTTCGTTGCCTTGTGTGCTATGCTGATTCCATGTGGTTGTAGTAGTTTGTTGGTGGCTTCTGAGATATTCTTGATGTATGGCAGTGTAATTCTTTTTAGGGTTTGTGCTTGTTGTGCTGTATTGGGTTGGACTTTTTGATAAAGTTGCCGTGGATATCCATTTTGTTAGAATATGTCGTACAGATGTTCTATTTCCTTTTCTCTGCTATTGCTGCGGTGAGTTTGGGCTCATCTAAATAAAGTCCTTAAACAGCTTCTCTTGTGGGAAGTTGAGTTGTTGCTTTGGTAGTGGAGCACCTGGTTAGTGTGGGTAGTTTTGCTGTAGACTTGCATTTTTAGTTCACTATTGTAGTCTTTGCTGACCAGGATGTCCAGGAAGAGTAGCAAGTTGTTGTTTTCTTCTTCTCTAGTAAACTGGATTCCTTTAAGAATGTTATTGATGGTTCTGTGGATGTTCTCTAATTGTTCGTTTTTTTATTATGGTAAAGATCCATATTTTCAGTTGTATTTGTGGAAGTGCTATGTCTTCTAGACGTTGAATGATGGCCTCTGTTATAAGTCTTGAACGTGATGATCCCATAGGTGTCCCTTCAATTTGTTGGTAAATTTGTCCATCAAATTGGAAGTATGACGTTAAGCAGAGTTTTATGAGATCCATAATCCTGGATGTTTCAATCTTCGTGTATTCGGTTAAGTCAGGTGTGCTGTTGAGCAATGCGGTCATGGATTCTTTGGCTAATTCTGGATTTATAGATGTGAACAGGGCTATGACATCAAATGAGACCATGATTTTGTCCTCATCTCCAAGCTCTCTAACAAACAGTCTATTATCTGTGCTAGGGAGTGTGGGATTTGCTTCCTGTTTATATACAGTGGTTTGCTTTGCTAATGCTAGTGAGGGTGTGGTTTTCTCCTTGCTCATTTATTTATTTGTTTGTTTATTATATATCAAATTTAGAAACTGTCCATCTCCCTCATAGCGCGACTCCAGGTGACGTACAAGTAAAATATAAAAGCTGTATATAAATATTACGTTAGGAGGCCATTAAAACCAGGAGGAGAATAATTAAAATTGTACTCAATAAGGCTTAGCTTAATAAGTTAATAAAAATTGTAAGTTAAAAGGGCAGAAAGAGGACCTTCAAGCTCCTTATGTTTTTTGTTTGTTTGCCTGATGGTTATCCGGGTGTGATGACCTGGGGCGTGGCACAAAGGCAACACAGTGAAATAAGCAAGAAGAGTCCCTTTATTATCTCCAACTTTGTCCCCAATGTCCAGGTTATCTTCAGCTGGAGAAAAACTATCCCAGGAACAGCCTTTAACTGGAGAAAATTCAGTCCAAAACAAAGTACATACAGACTGTAACTAAAAATCCAAACAAACCAAGCTGCAGTCATTAACTTGACAGGGCAGGAGAAGGACTTTCTGACTAGAAAGTATGGCAAAACTCACACAGTTGGGAAGACGCCAGGAACACAGATAAACCTCAATGATACCAGATAAATTCACGATTTGCTCCCAACAGCTTGCTGCACGCAGCTTCCATTTTTAAACACTGTGTTCCCAGCTGCAGCTAATGAAGGGAACCAGGGCCCTTTCCTCCCCCATAAGCCACGCAACTCACACAACTCACGTTGCTCCCTTCTCCATTCCTCCCTGCGTGCCCTAGGATGAAGAAGGGATGGGCCTGGGTCTTCCTCTGAATTCCCTCTCCCTTCCTCTACCTATCCCATTTTGCCCAGCCAGACTTTGCCCTTCCCTAGTTTCTTCCACAGCCAACAGAGCCCAGAGCCACACTCCCACTCCCCGTCAGCTGTTCAGCCTCCCTCTCCGAATCAGATTCCAACAGGGGCATGACACTGGGTGTTGCCTGCTGGAGAGGATGTATTCTCTTTTTTTTTTTTTTGTTTCCCCTTGATTTTTTTTTATTATCTCTTTTAAATGGTGAGTACATGTGGTTTACCTCTAAGTATCTATTGATGGCTGATTTGACTGAATGCCAAACTTCCAGGAATTTCCTAGCATTTTTCCTCTGGGATTCTCACAGTTTCTCCCTTGAAACTATGATTGAGTCTGTCTCTATGTTGTGATTTCAGAATTGTTGTTTCATGAATATTAGCATTTTTTTTCTATTGCAGATCCTTTCACTCCCTCATGGAAATTAAACCACAATCTCCTGAAAAACAGGAAATATTTAGCAAGGCATGTTTTCCATGTTCTTAAAATGTCCAAAAGGTTTCTTACAAGAGAATCACTTCATATCACATAGAAGGGAGAGTTAGATTGGTTAAATTTGGTTCTTGGCCTTCTGAAAAATTCTGACACTCTTCCCAAGATAACCCGTCCAAGAGATTATTTCTTCTATACAATTGCTAGTAGGGCAGTCAATGTTTAGCTCATATCTGTCTTCTGATGCTTTTAATAACTTTGTGTTGATCACCGGTTGTATTACCAGATGATATAAATTATTTCCAATATTGTGAGAATGTTCACTTTCTCATTCCATCGGGGGCAACTGAAAACACAGCTAGTTGGGGGAAAGAGGTAATAAAGAGAAAGCGCAGTGGTTTCCTTATATTTTAATGTCCTATGTTGAACAGATGGTCATCTTAAACATGTTTCACGATGCTACAGGTAATCCTCGACTGACGAAGACAGTTGTGACTGGACTGTCTGTCGCTAAGCAATGCGGCCATTAAGGGAATCATCATTTGTCCACATCCGGTTTTATGACCTTTTTTGCCATGATTGTTAAGCAAATCACCATTCATATGGCTGTCAAACAATTCTAGCTTCCCCCTTTGAATTTCCTTGTCAGAAGCCAAGTCAAGATTTCAAATGGTGATAATGTGATCCTGAAATGCTTCAACTACCAGAAATACATGTCAGGTGCCAAACATCCAAATGACAATCACATGACTATAGGGACCTGCAACGGTTGTAAGTGCAAGGATTGGTCATAAATGGGTCATAAAAGTTTTAACGATGATATAATATAATATGCATAGTTGATCTATATAATATGAATTTTAATAATGTATTTAGAAGGGAAAGACTATTGATATTGTGCATAGGAGATGTGTACCAACTGACACACTGTACAATGGAAATATGGTTTTATTTGATGTTTTATGTTTGTATTTGTTAATGTTTGTTGTTAAAATAAATAAAAAAAATTAAATGGGACATAAAAGTTGTGGTGGCGCAGTGGTTAGAATGCAGTATTGCAGGCTAATTTTGCCGACTGCCAGCAGTTCAATTCTCACTGGCTCAAGGTTGACTCGGCCTTCCATCCTTCCGATCTGGGTAAAAAGAGGACCCAGATTGTTGGTGGCCATATGAAGAAGTATATAAGTCTAAGTGCTATTGCTATGACCTGTGAACTTCAACGTGGCTGGCTAGGAATTCTG